TTAAATAAATGAATATTCATTTAAATGAGTTTTCTTGTAAAAATATTTGTTTACATTCTATATTGTCCCAGAATAAGGTAGCCAAACGGCACTTGTCTCATTGACTTATACTTTTTTTGTTAGAATATTTGTTTTTTTGAAAATGGAATACCTGAAATTTGCTAAATATTGGTACAGAAACTAGTACTTATGAACTTTAGCTTTTGATATCAACATATTGTATAATTGGTCAATAAAATGTTTCCCATCTTGGATTCTTGCTCTGTAGCCGAAGTTGTGGATCCACGAACTGGCGTATTAATACTTAAATTGTGTTGTTAATTCTTTTGTTTTTTAATTTTCATCAAAATAATGTAAAAGTTTTTGAATATTAAGGATTAAGAAAAATATAAGAATGGAAGCTGTAAGAATATTGGAAGAAAGTTCGTCATATAACTTAGTAATAAATAATTGTTTTAAATTATATATTCTGGCTATATGTTAGGGTATTTACAGGGCATGAAAGTTATTTTTACTACAGTCTAAGGAGAAACTATACGTGTCAGTAAATTTTGATATTGAGTTCAGTGTTTGGGTATGTAAATTAGTTTGCATTCCATTTGCTTTCATTTTGTTCGATAAAGTAAGTAAATTTCGATTCCGAGAGCGGAACTTGCTATTACTAGTAGAGAAACATGTGTTTATGTTATTGGCAGTTTATTTACATCTAATTAGGATATGAGTATAATAATCAGAGAAAGACTAATTTAAGTTAATAAATTTTAATTGTGATTTTGCCTGTTCCCGAATATTTCAATTCAGGTTGGCAAATCTTACAATTTTTTTTATTTAATTATTAATTTCCACTTTTCTTTCTAATTCCTTTTACCCTCAAATATGCGGAACTCACACTTGAAATCTAATTTTATGAATTTTTATTTTATACGAAATTTTTAGTATTTCTTTGCAATTTTATTTTTAAAATTCGTTTATTTTTATTTTTTTTACTTATATTACTTTGCATACCCATATATGTAGATATGTAAGTATGTATAGGTCGTGCATGCTACTCTGCTTGAATTGGAATGTGATTTAATTATTTGATTAAATTATTTTCTTTATGGCCATCTAACCTAGATATGAAATTGTTTTTATTGTATTTAAAATTTGAGTTTAATTTTGTAAAAAAATAAAAATGAAAAGCAGAACGAAAAGGTAAATTGGGTATGAATTGAATAACATATTTAGAATTTTTTTTAGTAAAAAAAAATAAGTGTAACACAATTACAGCTTTCCCGATTAGATTATGAATTTTGGATTCACATTGTTTGCTTTTTAGCTTGTACATGATTTATTTATAGAGCACTACATTTATTTTTACCGAAGTGGAAGTCTTCTTGTTTTTCAAGTTTGGTCAAATAAATTTTCATGAAAGATCTGAATTTATTTTTGGAACTTTTGGCTAGCCAGGTTTCAAAAGGAAGACGATATCTATGCATTTTTGTCAATATTATACATATAGACTATCTATCGCTATTATAAGGTAGTGAACCAAAGAGGATTGTCTATAATATCATATTTATTATAATATTAAAGATAATTTTAATAACTGGGTCGACTTGCATGTTAGACAAAAAATAAGGAAATGATATAACCTTGAAATTTAATATTGAAATTCAGTTTGGGTACAGTGTTTTCAAGAAAGTCAAAATCCACAAAATAAAACCCTTGAGTGATTCAATTTCATATTTCTCGAAGAGTAAGAGCAACTAGAAGTTCGATAGTTCTGCATATAACGAGCTAACTACGACATGAGAACAATATTTTTTTGAGGCTACAATTTTGATTTAACGAAACTTGAAGCTGAAAGCGGGCTAGTGTTAAATTTTATTAAGTTTTACATATCTTAAGTAAATTGTTTTTAATTTTCTTATAAGATATCTTTATCTTGATGGTGCAATATACTCAAACCAATATTACCCCACTAAGATGATATAAGCATCAATTATGAATAAAAACATGTTTGCAACAAGTAGAAGATATTATAAATCATCATAAACCCTTTAACATTCAGATTTCATAGATAGAATTGATCTAAAAAAAATCTGAAGTTTCTAGATTGAAATAATACAGGAATATGTGGAACGAGAGATAACTTCCACCAAGAGCGTTCATCTGGAATCTGCGATAATAATTCGTAAATTTACAAAAATTCAGTTTAATAAAATGAAATAATGGCGAAAAAACGTTCATTACATTTTTCGTTTGCTATTTAGGTAATTTTCTTTAAAATTTGTTTCTAATGAGTCTACTTCATTGGTTGATATTGCGATAAACTTCAAAGGTTTTTCTTTTAGCTTTATTGAGATAGGAATTGTTATTACTTTGAAGTTTACTTTGGAGGACTATGAAAAATTATTAAGATCAGTAAAACGACGGACAATTTTGCACATTTAATTAATCTAAAAAGCTGGAATCTCTGGTTTTCTTATCTTTTCAAACTGAACACATTGCTTTTAAATGCATCTTTAAAATTTCTAGCACACAAAAATAAAAATTCATTAATTATGTTCATCATCGCTTATAGTAAACAAGCAATGAATTTAATTGCTTATTAAAATATAATTGCTGCATTGCATTGGTGTAAATGCCATGTACTGCAATAATGATATGCAAATGTTTATGGTGAATCCGAATTTTAACACTATGTAAGTGAAATAAGTTAACAACACGAATCCATAAACGCTTGCCTCTATAAATATGAATTTTATATCGACAAGGATTTCAACGTAATTGTCTCTATAAAATTGAGTTTTAAGAGACAATTTTCAATTGATAAACTTTAGATACTCATGATATAAACAAGATATGAATATAATATTTGCAATGAGCAAAGCATTTGTTGCGGTCAGAAATTACTTCAAAAAATCTTTCCAAGAAATTCTTCTTGGAAATGTGATTAATTTCAACTTTATTATTTTAAGTGCTTTGAAATTGCTCGCAAATAATTCTCACTAATATAACAACATTTATTGTTATGTTTCATGTTTAAACCTACAACCTATTAAAATAAAAATACATTAATTTATTATCAAAATCGTAGATCCAAATCCAGTAGGTTTAAGAAATTATATAAAGTTGTGTTCAATTCATATTTAAGGTGTGAAGTTAATTTAAAAAGTAAACTATCTTAAATATTTTGTTTACGTTGAAATAAGGATGTTGAATTAATTTTCATCGTTTTCATTTTGACAGAATTATGTAGTAAATTAAAAGACGAATGAGACCAAAGGAAAAATGAAAAATTTTTAAATTCGCTTCATACTACATATTTGATATTGTTTTTTTAAGTCCCAGTTACTCAAACATACTTGCTTCAAACCAAGTTAGTTTGAAATAAATTCTTTAGATAATACCGCAACAAAATAATATGAATGCTCCCCATGTTGTAATTCATTTCTCCACAATTTTCTTTACAACTCTAATATTCTTTAAAAGGAACAGCTGTACTGTAACAATTTTACATCACTATTATCATCCATTATTGATAACAGTTATAATTTTATACCTGTTTCATTTGAATGTAAAATTTCTGTAAAGAAAAGAAAATAGAAGTAGAGAATAGATTAAAAAATTATTGAGAGGAAACTGTAAAATGTTCATATATTATAGTGCTTTTGCAGAAACTGAAATTGAGAGAATGAAAGAGAATACAAGAGAGTATAAAAATTAAAAATTTGAATTAAAAAAGAGCAAGAAATTTTTTTTATTTATTGAGTTGAGAATGAAATTCTTGTAATACTATAAGAATAATATGTATGTATATAGGAATATGAAAAAAAGGGACATAAAACAAAAATAGATGCACTGTGGAGCATGCTCCATAAAATTTTTCATGTAGAAAAATATTTCGTCGTGAGTATAGCACGAGAATTCATATAATATTAAGTAATAGATTTATGTGACCCACAAAAAGAAAATATGTAGCTCATTTGCAGAAATTCGTGTCTATTTAATAAAGGAATGTACAAAATAATTTTTTTTTTTTGGTATAAATTAGAAGGATGATAAGAAAAATACGAAAATATAGAATACGACAGACCTAGGTACGATGATTTTTGATAAGCGTTTAAGGACTTTTGTTTTGTTATAAGCGATTCCGCTGTTTTAATTTTATTTTTTTTCTTTTATCTCTTTCGCTATTTTATTGTTCTTTGCCCATTTTACAGTTGATATTCTTTGATGTATTCTCCAATAGTCCTACAGTTCTATGTAAATTTTCGCAATGAAATTTTTTATGTTGTTCGATTTTTGTTGGGAACTATTTTTATGCTTGTTTTATTTGTTTGTTTCTCGTTTTTTAATTTTTGTTTACTGCTCTGAATTCCGATTTTTGGTTTGCAAAATTTTAAGAAAAAACACAAAAAAAATTTGTAAAAGACCCTTTCATTTTGTTTTGTTCGTCGTAAATTTATGGAAAAATTTATTTCGTCGAAAATTTTTTTTCATTTTGATTTTAAAATGTAAATGATTTTCGTATTTGCTTTTAAATAAGTTTTTTTTGCTTTGTTGAGTTGAGATATATTGAGAGTAATTGAGAGATAATTTCCAAAGTAAATTGGAGAGAAAAAGAGGAATTTTTGAGAGAGAATAAATATTTTTTTTTGTAATTATTATTACTTGCTTACGTTTTTAACATTTTGATATTTTAAAGGTAGCAAAAAAATTTTTATTTAAAAATAGGAAAATTTTTTAAATTATAAATTTAATTTTCATACAAAATTATTAGTTTGCAGAGTTTCTGAAAATAACTTTCTATTGCCTGCTTTTTTTTTATTTCTGTTATCCTTCTTTCTTATACTTCTGCTACTGCTGATATCTTACTGTTATTGATGGTATTGCTAATTTTTATTATACTGTTGTTTCATTTTTATTCATTTCAAACTCTATGTTTTTCCATGTATGATTATTTTGCAGTAGAGCTAAAATTTTAGAGTTATAGAATTTTTTTCATATTAGTATAATTTTCATATTCAAATTGCTCGGTAACGGTGTATCGCTTAATTTTTACGTTATTACGGGAAGTAAATTACAAAACATAAAAAGAAGAAAAGTAAAAAAACAAAAGCATATAGAAAACATAATTACAATAAAAATTGATTTCACGAAATGCAAAAATAAAACATAAAGTGTTAAAAATAAGGAATAACGTATAAATTTATTAATATTAAAGAAAATTCAGGATATTAATATCCTTTTTTAATATAAATGTAAAAAAAATATTCTATACTAAAAATTTCTTACTTTTTGCTGTATTTTCCTGTGTTTTTAAATTGGTTTTTTAATAAAATTCTATATATGTATATTAAAGGAAAACTAAAAAAAAATTATGATTATTATTGAAAGAAAATTTTAGAATTTCACATATCCTTTTACATATTTAATTACTAAAGGACAAAATATACAAAAAAATTGAAAATTAAATTTCATTTTTAAAAAAATTATTAAATAAAACTAAAGATTTTTTTTCTATATACGCATAACTCTATATCAGAGAATTAAAAATTCCAAATTGTTACATGAAAATTAAATAGAACGAGGAAAAAATTTTTTTAATAGAAAATAAGAAAATTAAAGAATTTTTAAAACTATGTAATATGCAGAGTTTATAAAGGAAAATTTGGTTAAAGTGAAAATAAAAATTTATTTATAAGAAATATTTTTAATATAAATGTGGATGTTTGTATGTTTGTATACAAAGTTTTATATTTCATTTAATTAATTTATGTGTGTTTTTGTTCTAAATGTACCAATTATTTTAAATTAATTCAATATTATATATTTTTATGAAATAATTGTTCTTAAATTTATTTTTAATATTTATTTAAATAGAAATAATTTGTATTTTAAATTTATCAGTGGAAAATCTAGAACGTAACAAAATCATTAACCATTATATTGACTATTAATTTATTATGAGTGTATAGGTAATTCTATTTTAATATTAGATCAATTTTTCTTCAGCCAAAGCTAATAAAATTTTTATAATGTTTAAATATATTAAATTATAAGGGAATGGAATCTTAATTTTCCATATAAACATAATACATATATATATAATCACACATATATATATTTAAATATTTATCCGTTGTGTATAAACTAATAAAATAAAATTCTAAAAGAAAATTAGGTCTGAATTTTTATAGAACATTTTCATAATTTGACTGCCAAAATTTCATATTATGATTGTGTATGGTTGATGTTTACACTTTATTATTATTAATATTTCTATATATATCTATGTATTTACTAATTTTGTATTTTAATTTTGTATTGATATTATTAAACATTTTAATTTTAAGAATCTAAAATTTAAACATTATGCACATATAAACAGTACAATCTCTATATAATGAACATCAAAAATCTTACAATGTTTGCTTGTATAATACAGAGATTTCCTTGTAGTACAGAAAGTGTTCAAATGAGTAATAAAATGATATTTTCAACTGATTCACTAATTAATCACACTAAATTTAGATTTTTGTTATATTGAGAGTTCATTTTACAGAGATTCTACTACATATATATATTAAATAGGTTTCTTTGTTATACTTTTACGTATATTGCATAATATTGTTTATGAAATAATAATAATAATAATATAGAGCAAAATAATGTGATTAAGGGTGACAATATTTTTATAAATTTATCAATAAAATAATGAAATTATTAATATATTTATAATAAAATAAAGTTGTTTGTATTGTATATGTTTATAATATTCATATATGTATATTATTTATTAATTTGTATATTCACAAATCACAATGTATTGATAGTGTTTCAAAAGCATTCAATATAAATCATTTCATATTCACCATTATTTTCAAAAAAGAAAATTTTTTATATTAATTCATTTTTTTTTCTGTTATTATTGATAATGTATAATAAATGTATGTATGTACATGTGTATATGAATCTATAATTCATATGAAATATAATTATCATAATATATAAAATAAAAATATGATTTATAAATGTGGTATATAAATATTTAAAAGAATAAAAAATAAACAAAAAAATAAATAAATTACACACAATATAAGAGCAATCCTGTATATGTATGTGCATGTGGCTATATAAGTACTTAAGTTAGTATAAATATTAAGTGTATGTACATATATTTTATATTTGATATAAATGGTACTTAAGCTAATCAGTGTCATTAATTTTAGGCAAAAAGAAACAAAAAAAGTACAAAACTTTTACTTAAAAATAAAAAAAAAAAATTTTTTTCCTAACCTATATTATGTTGTACCAAAAATACAGTTAAACCTAGGTAAGAGGGAAATCTCTGCAAGTGAAATTATTTTCAGTGTTCCGTCGAATTTTCTTACAATAATTTTTTCTTAGTCGGAATGTTGTTTACCATTTTCAATTGCAATTTATTTACTCCTTAATTTTCTTTAGTTTTACTCATGCATTAAAAAATTTTAACAGCCACAAATTTTTTAATTTTTTCTGGATACAAGTGCTTTAAAAATTTTAATACTTTATTTCGTTCCAAAAATTTTCGATCCTTTAGCAATATTTTTATTATACTAGAAAATTTCCGTACTTCTAGGGTAATACTGTTTCTTATACTTAAGTTTAATATTACTTTTTTTTTAGAATCTTCATTTGCTAAAATGAGAGGGAAAGGAATCCTAAATCGTAACCCTAAATGAGATAGGTTATATATAATTTTTCTAACACACTGCAATCTTTTAACCGATTTCAAAATGATTAGTTTTACAAAAGTCGACAATACCATTTTTAACAACATTGCAATAATGCTGAGAAAATTTATTGCAAAATCATTCCGACTGGTTCAAAATAAAGAGATGAAAATAGGCATTTCTTATTGAGACTATTTCTCTGGTAAAAATAAGACAATATAATATTGTGATAATTTTGCTAAAAACGCTCATATGTGTATGTTTGCAGGCACTGTTTATATACAATGTAGACATTAATAATATTAAAGATAAATAGTTGCATTAAATTTTATTAAAAAATTGTACGCAAATTTATGATTATTTTTATGATGTTTGAAGCACAAAACAAAAATTATGGGTATCTCTATTTCTTTATTAGTTCCCGTGTAATATAATAACTTTAATAAGAATAATATTTTATATATCGTACAGGCATACTTATATACATTAATGTAATTAAAATTTATATCATATGCATATATATAAATGTATTTGTGGCATTATGACAAAATTGCATTTATCGATTTACCACAAAATCCAGGTATTACAATATTTAAATTCTCCATGTTCAATTTTATAACCAAGCAAAATTTGGTTCAGGGAGTTTCCGCAGTTCAATTCATATTCGAGTGAGAAACTATTTCCATCGAAAAAATATTGCCAGTGTCGCCTGTATATATGTATGTATATAGGAGCAGATTGAAATAAACTGATTTCATTCAAAAGAAAATCGATAAAATTAAAAAAATTGTAGTAAAAACTGATAACAGACTAATTATAAAAAATATTAACTTTAATTCTGTAAACTCTGAGTCCTTTAAGCTGAAATATAATTTTTCAGAAAAGAACTTTAAATTTCAAAAATTAATTTACTCGAAACTATTTATTCAGGCTTAGGCAGTTTTTTCTTATTACCACAGTGTATAGCAATAAGTGTGTATATATAAAATAATACTTACATTATACATACTTTTACGCTACATTCATAAACATAATATAACTCATATAAATATAATATTGTAAGTATAACTTTCTACAAAAAAAAATTTAATATTATTTTCCAATAATACATTTTATATGCATATCCTTGTTAATATTTTCTACGTTTATACATATTGTATCTATATATATGTACATATGTATGTACAAATAATATAATAACATATAATGTGTAACTTAAACAAATTTGAGTAATAACCAGCCGTCAATCATTTCTTATAACCATGCTACATATGCACATACACAATATATTACATTAAGTACATTATTACATACATGTATTTATATACATATACACATATATTATCCTTATTTAATAATTTTTTTTTGCGTTTTCTATTTAACTTTGTGACGAAAATTTTCTTTATTTGTTGCCTTTATATGCGAATGGTTTTCTTTTTTTCCCCGTGTTTTCTTTTTTATTTCCCTATGACAAATAGGTGTAGTTACATTTATATACATATATAAATGAAAAATTTGCGGTGAAATAAAGAGGAATGAATGAGGGTGAGAGGGTGGAAGTCATTGGAGATGGAAGAAAATTAAAGGTTTGACGGAAAAGACATGTGTGTATTTTAACTAAATGAATGAATATCTCTATATATTTATATATTATGTAAACTATATTACATTATTATATAAAGTATATTTGGAGAATTTGTAGTTGAAATAAGTTAGTATAGAAAAAAAATGTAGGGGAATTTGCTTTTTGGTTTTTTTCCTTTCTTTCATATTAGAAAATTTGTGACAATTTATAGGTGATTATTTCGGTTAAATCTATATAAAACTTTATAAATAAGTGTAATTTATTTATGAGCTAACAATTTTATTTAAAGACTCTAACAAGTTATTCGAAAAATAAAAAAAAATTCATAACTTTCATATTGGTAATTATTCTTTTTTAATACTTTGAATTTTGTTTTACCAAATTACGTTTATGACTTTTTTACAACATTGATTACAAAATGTTGTAGGCTTACCTTTTGAAAAAATATTGCATATTTTTTGAATAAAAGCTCCAAATTGAAAGCAGCCATTCATAATGCACGAATTTGACGGCTTTACGGGAGTTAGAACAGTGATTATATTTTTGGAGAGAGTCAAACTTATCGTATATAGTTTTTGCTTCAATAGAAATTTGAAATTATTGTAATTGCGATAAAGTAAAATGTCGAAAAGTTTACATTTTCAGAGATGATAATAATATATGGACCGGGGGGCAAGCACAAGAAATTCTTTTTGTCAGATGAAATAAACCAACTATTAATTTCTAAAAGATGTTGGTTAAAACCGTACACGCCTTTACAGCCATTACAGTTTGGTTATTTAAACGGAGAAAACTGGTAAAAATTTTCTTAAAAAATATTAATTTTTTAACAAAAAGTATAGAACTTTTGTAAATAGGCGCATTTGTCCGCCAGCAGATAAAGTAAAAGTCATATCTCATACTAAGCGAGCTTAGTAAAATTTAGGGGTAAAAAAACAAATTGATTGCTCTAAATTGAAGA